CACACCCACCAACTAGCGTACTGCCTTCCCACACTGCACCGTAATGTCACATTATCGAGGTGTGATCCCTTCCCACATGACCTTCTTACTGTTCTTACTGTGAAGAGAGATATATCAATCATACATCTACTACCACAATCATCTATACAGTCTTCACTATTTACTCGTATTATGTTTGCCGCTGTTCATAGCTAAGTGCACTTAAATCGATTAAGTGATTACAATTGATTCGGTTAGTTCCCACGTGCTTCATGGACATGATATATAACATTGATAATTGTAATTGAATTAGAACTAGAATATGCTGACCACAGCAATGGGCTTGACCGCAAAGCGATTGTTGGTAATTGCTCTTTTGAATTCATCTGCACAAACGATCAAATGTCATCGAAGTAATCATTACGCCTGCATCAATCCTATACTTTCTGTCAACCTTGCGAATATTCAGTACATCCCACATAAATATTATACAATGATTCTAACGAAATGCATCTCTATCTTTGCAATAAAAGAGTACAACTTACAACATATTGAAGGGTTTCAATGAAATGGTTACTCAAAGAATGATAAGATAAGCAAGAACAATAAAGTAAGTATACAAAAGATGATCCTGATTGTGAGGATGATATTGAGGCTGATGAAGTAAAAGAAAAAGAAGAAGAAGAATGAGTGAAGAAGAGGAACAAAAATTGACTGTTGATGAAAATAATACTTGCATCTTACACAATGATCCTAATTTTGGGGTGTTTTCACCAAGCTGTTGTCTTCTCCGTAGCTGCTTCCCCTTAAAATCTCACATTGAACTTCAAATTCAAAGTTTGCGATTAAGACCACTCTACTCGCCCATTCAATCCACTTATAACGAGGTATACAGATGAAAGTCGTTTTGAGGTCGGGTGGAAAATCGTTTACCGTTCACATTTGTTGTGAATCAGTAATTTGTTTTATCCTTGTACGTCTATATCCAATAACTATGACATCACTCATGTCACAAAGAACTTAAACAAAACTCTGCGTCATGCTCAAATAGAGATGCTTCCCAAATACAGATACGAGATGCCGGAAACAGGTGAGAAAATTACTAGAGATTCATGTATAAGTATCACTATCATTAAAATCATCAAAGACTGCACCAATACTGAATAATATTCATCCACTTTGGTAAATTACGGGTACAGGTGTCCCTACGGAATCCCCCCTCCCTCCTAAAATATCAGCGAATATATAGAAAGAGGTAGAAGTTAGGGGTGGAACAGATGCGTCTTTGTTATTGGGAGGGGCACTAGGCATACTAAGTGGACGAAATGCAAGAGAACAAAGCGACTTAGCGGGGGAGGATAGAAGAGGGATATAACTCATCTTCCAATTTTCTGTCTTCCTCCCCTCTCCTCAATAGATGGCCGAAAGGGGGGGGGGGAGACTTGTCTGATAACATTATCATTACACGTTGGAAGTCAAATTGTGTCAATGTTTGGTGCTGGTATTCTAGTCCTCCGATTGTTACTCAAATCTCACCCTAATTGATACTTGATCTTATCTCATCAGGGATATCAGTAACAGATAACATTTGAGAAGTTTTAAAGCACCATTTAATCATTTGATAAAATAATCATTACTATCCGTGACATAAGCCTATAATATACAGTAATTCGAACTCACCACAACTTATACCAGTTATTCACGTATAGACCTTCTCGAGTTCATGTCAAGAGGTACAACAGAATAGTTTGGTTTAATAACGACATCATGCAAGCAGCAGTCCAGATAAACTCAAGCTATTTTCATTAATAAGTGTTGGATATTCAACGGCTGTGTACAAACAGTAAAGCACAACTTACGGATTTATTAATAAAAAGGGAGAAAGTAATAGTTTTAACAAATATTGATACTCGCAAAAATGAAAATAAAGCTAAACCTCGTGATCCGAAAACTAGTTTTTCTTTGATGAGAGTATTGGTTGGAGATGTGGTGGAAAAGGAATCGATTTGTTTTTCCTGTGTTGTAAGTTTACAAGGGCTTGTGTGTCAATGAAATTGTAAACTAAGATAAAGTTAAATCAGCCGTTAGATTAGTTAGGCGTTAACAAAATCTTGAAATTAGACTTTGGAATGAAATCCAGATAACTTGAAAATTAACTTGGACGTTTTACAACTTGTTGTGTGAGTTCTGTAAACACTTTGAAAGAAGATAAGATAAGGTCTGTGACCATAACGTTTATTTTGGGAGGGGGCGGTGGTATTATGGAATTGAATAAACCCCTCGTCTCTCAAAGTTGTCTACAACTAAAGTTTACAAACTGGAATAATAGGCCTATACATGTTTGATATAGCATGGGCTCATATTGTAAGCACACGGATAAAGGACAAGCACGTTAAATAAAAGAAGAAATGACAAAAGAAAGAGATTGAAACAAAATAAACAGAAAAGAACATGTAATGTATAGATAGACAGAATATGCACATACAATTGGTATCAGTTTATTATCATAAATGTCTAGTCGTAGTACAATGCAATATCTTACACAACGAGTAAACGGGTAACCATGGTTACTGTATAAAAAAGTACTGACTTTTGGGATGACTTATTTCGTAATTATGATGGGAGAGGAATTACAATTAACCTAAAAAAGAAAAAGCAATCAGGGAGATGAGAATTTAAAATCTCATCTCCCTGCAGCAATATAGTTCTCAAAATATCTGCATTATAGAAAGATGGAAATAAACTCCATATCACGTTGTACACTAATACATGAATGAATTCATGAGGCAGTACATTGTCGCCTGGGAAGGCGGTTCCATAATGACTGTCACATGTCTTTATTAATGTCTTTTCAATAATGACTTTTGTTATATTTTGAGAACACAGTCGTCTGGGCTAGCATGACTATAGCTTAGTCCACATCCTGTGTATTACCAAGAAATTCAGTACACATTAGGAAATCATAGTCGATTTTACTGCCCTCTTTTCCTGTTTCTCCCGTTTGTATTTGATAAATGATGAATATATCCCACTATACAAGACTGTCGGTAATGAGGTCTATATGGGCCGACATGGCAACATATTATGATTGAGAGATATATATTTTATATACGATAAAGACTTACAAAATAAGCAATATAACATTGAAGAAAAAAAAATGTGTATCTGTTTTTATGCCGTTGATTCTTATAAGCCCCACATCATGAAAAATCTACCAAGCTATTACTTCATGTTAACATTATCATTGGTAGTTATAATAAAATCAATCTATACATTGTGTATAAATTATGTTTGCTGCATTGTGACAAGAAAGCTATGAAATCATTGACATTAATATACACGATACAGTATATTTGGAATCGGCGAAAATAATTTTAGACGAACTGCTTCTTCTGAAGTGCTCGGGAAAATTAAGCGTTGCAAGAGAAACTTTCTCGGTGCAAAACATCAACCAACCAATATGATCTACCACAAGTTTCATTTGTTTGACAAATTTAGTTTGTGAATGTTTTGTACTATATGGCAATGTTTTGAAAGGATTAGATTTCTCGGGTAATACGGGTATAGAATTAGGAAATACATTCTGATACTTGGCAATGAGATCATGAATTGAACTTGTGTTTTCCCCATTCGAAAACGACAACAACAACAAAAGTACCGTGTTCTATACTGCGATAAGTTAGCTATAAATGCAGTTGTGTCTTTATACGAGTCCATATCAATTCAACGTGTGAAGTAAAAGTAAATTTTGTCATATACACACGAATAGAATTTATATATGTTACAGTAAACCTGTTATAGTGTAAGTGTAAATGTATATCATTGCATGGTGGTTGAAACGTTTTGCACTAACTGTCTTATTGATAGTCATTAGTCTGAAGGTGGGCGGATTAAGTAATTGAATTTGAATATCCCACTACTACCGAGGAAATAGATTAGAAGGTGCAAGTTTTCAGTAGTAGAGAATGACCCGGCTTGCATGAACGATGTAGGAAATAAACTGAATCACCAAACACATTAAAGGAAACACCTGTAAAGTCTGAAAAGTGCAAGGCCCATATCAAATAATGATTGAAGAAAGCGCGTGTTACCGTCTCAAATTGTTTTTCATCTATTAAAACAAAAATCATGTTTGCAGTGGGTGATATCGGATCAAAGGGCGATGGGAGTAATTAATTACATTCTAATCCTTCACGGTTAGAAACTTATTGACCTGCCTCTGATAAATGATTATTGACATCGATTCAAAATAAACAGAACTATTGAAACAAAGTTTAATATACATTTGTCACACCCGATGCAAATAAAAATGCAAATACAAACTCTATGTAATGTTCTCATCAGTGCATGTTGACACGATTTTAGCATTGTAGACTAAAAGAAATTAGTACAAAGATAGGCGTATAAAGTGCAGTATAATGAATACAATGACATCAAATGGAGGTATGAGACATGGTATAGCAGATCATTTTTAAAGTCACTTATCCGCTCCCCTTTCTAACAATTTTCTTTCCTTTCCTTTCCTCTTTCTTTCTCGTGCGTTCTTATTCTCACTTTCCTCTCTTTCAGCTTCTGACTTATTTCTTATAAAAAAAGACTTTCCCAATTCTCACCTCAAATAAATATTAGTGATCGAGACAATGACAGTAAAAATATATATATATATATTAAGTCAAAGTTTTAGACAGGAGCGAAAAATGTTCATAATTGTCTTATTCCTAATGTCCCTTGAATTTTCTTTAATATTTGTTTTTGTATCACATCTGCATTCTACTCAATTTACCAAGATACAGCAATTAATATCTCTAACATGGATTTGATGTGGAATTAAAAAACCTCTCTTGCTATTGCACTTCACTCCAAGATCAACAAAAGTATCAAATTACTATAATTTCTATCGATCCCTATCATTCTCAGTGCTCACTATCATCTTCTCTGCTTAATCATGACTACATGCCTCATAAGATCATCACCGACTCATCTTTGTAGCAGGTTGCAATATAAATCTACTATATACTCACACGCAAAAGAAGTATACAGCAACAATACGCATCAGAAATATGAATCCAATTATAATATGTAAATCCCAGATGCTCCCAAGCCAGTGAAGAAGAATTACATCCCGTATCATTAATTCAGTCTAATGACTGTGAGATATAATACACCCTGCTCCTGAGTACACCAAACGAGATCTTCGTCTCGTCGGCTTTAACGCGACGCACGCACATCGCAGCACGCCAGACGACGCGCACGTTCACTGAAATAATAGAATTTCAGTTTGGCATTCTTTACTTTGTATGAAGAACAAACATTTGAGTTCAACTTTTGACAAAATCTCAAATTTGAATTCTGGATTGGACAAACATTCTCTTCGTTCACTTCTTTCTTTTGTTTGCACTTCTGTACTCCAAAATGTAAGACATACATGTTCATTTCGATACATCACTGGTTCTTTAAATTCTATTTTTTGCACCGAGTAGTACTGATAGGTATTAATTTTCTGCAACTTGCAATATATAGGCAATTAAGTTTGTTCTAAAGTTTGTCTCGGTTCAAAGTTCAGTTTTGAAGGAGAAAACAATATATTTTATGTGAAAGGTGAAATGAATTCTTAACAAGCTGGAACAGAAAAATATAACTTTTCATCAAATGCTCGTGTAGCATTCTATAGTTCTAATCTTATTAGAAGAACGTATAGCAAAAACTTTAAATATTTGTTGATACTCTATAGAATGTACTCTTCGCCCTTTTGACACTAACTTCATTCCGAGGAAGCCATAATCATATTCATTCTATTTGTCACCGTTAACTATATATCTTGACAATATGTTTGCACGCTTTCTATTGACGAATTGCAAATCATTGTCAAAACTGCGGATATTCTTTTTTTCCCTTTCCTTTTAAACCTCAGTTGCACATTCTAATTCTTGCAAAAACATGTATAGACAAAATAAGGAAAACAGTCCCTTGTTAGAAATGTTGAAAGAGATAAATCCATCTGTCCATACAAGCGTATATCGACATGAAATGACCATCTCCTTTCTTTTTAAGTAGCTTAATGCATTAGCAAAAAGCCACTTTCCTTTCTCTCTAAATAAACCAAGACTTAATCAATAGATGTTCTGTTCCGTCTCTAAACAGATCAAAAGACAAAACTTTCCTCATCGGTGTGGTGCTTTTCACATGTTCTTTCGTTCTACATCATTACCTCTTCTATTCAAGAGACCTACCTTTAAAGGGATAGTTGAGTTCTGTTTTCAGACCGCAAATGCCTTCAAAGTGCATGGTTATTGCTTTTATTCTTATCTATGACATTTATAGTGCCCTTTTAGAACCTAAAATTGCTATTAAGGTAATTTTAGACTCCAAAATGTGTGAAATTTAGCCAGTACGATCATACCAATTCAGCTCCACTTTAAACAAATCCGGTGACCATTAATTAATTATTTGATTAAAAATAACAATACATGGGCCGGCTGGTTGTGCGTAATATAACCAACACGGAAATGCCAACAAAAAAGCCAACATCGGCATTGGCCGAAATACGACGTAAAAGGCGTTATTTCGTTTTTCCAACGGTTTTTTCAAATATTTCTAAATATCTAATATTTGTGGTGGTACACAAGTTTTAGAAATCGTTATATTTCAGCCGTCTCTGAACCGATTTTGATCAAACAAAGATGATTTTGTCATTAAAATGTTATGTTCTTTCAAATCTGACACTCAGTATTTCATTATCTCACACACAAAAAAAATGTGTGTAGCGCCCTCTGCAACAGAACTCAACTATCCCTTTAAAAGGATTAAAGGAAAGAAAAACGTACATACGCTATTTCAGAAGGAAAAAAAAGATTGAATAGGGTATAATTACCGAATTTTAGACGTCTTATGCCACCCGCACGAAAATGTTTGGCGCTCTTTCGAGTACAACAAAGTAAAACTCGAGTTTCAATCTTCTATATTCTTTTGTCCTTAATATCTGATCAAGAATTCTGTCTAGGGCTGTATAATTGATTTGACTCCGTCGTTGTTTGTACAATAAGTATTCTCTCTCGATTAGGTACATTGTTTTCCATGTTATGGTCTCCTTAACATCATTGTGACACACGTTTGCACGAGGTCACTGTGTTTCATTCTCATGCTCATGTCAAAAATTGTTCATTCACATTCCTATGCACACGTGTGTTTTCTTCTCAAAACTTAAATCCTTGCCACAAACATCATTTCCTTCCGATTGAACTTACTTTAGTAGGCAAACAAAGTAATGGCTCAACCAAATCTAGGTAATCTTATGATTGATGATGACATTTCGATCACCAGCAGTATGTCTTTGTTTTTGTTTTTTAATTTTTATTACAACAAATAACTCCTACCATATTCAAAATCTTTATGTCGTTCGGTGATATTTCCAAGCTAAATTGAGATAGAAAATAGACTTAAATGCTTGTTTAGCATGTTTAGTTTATTTGAATGCGTTCATTTTAGGCAGGGAGGCGACATAACTCCTTGTTTCAGGTAAAACTGTGTATGAATCAAGTATGGAAGGCCGAGTAACAACCTTCTCTAATTCTAAGTTGGAAAAGTTTCTAAGGTCGAATAATGGTAAGTATGGGAATAACTAATGTAGTATGTATTTATTCTATCCATACTACATGTTTCCCGAAATTATCATGGGATTTATGATTTGAGAAATGCACCATTGATATGCTAAATCCGAAAACTAAGTACACGATTTTGTTCCATGCATTTTATCAATTTTGGGGGATTATTTCTTTTAATTGTAATTTACATGATTGAGGGCATACATTAGGGAAGGCAAGATGAGGGGGAGGGGAGGGGGCTAGTGATATAATTATGCTCGCAAATATCATGTAGGCTATATAAACGGAAATTGTTATGACAATGAGAGGGGGAGGGGGAGGAGGAGGAGTAGGAGGTGGTGGTGGTGGTGGCGGGGTGAGGGGAGGGGGAGGGGGAGGAGGAGGAGTAGGAGGTGGTGGTGGTGGTGGCGGGGTGAGGGGAGGGGGAGGAGGAGGAGTAGGAGGTGGTGGTGGTGGTGGCGGGGTGAGGGGAGGGGAGGGGGAGGAGGAGGAGTAGGAGGTGGTGGTGGTGGTGGTGGCGGGGTGAGGGGAGGGGGAGGAGGAGGAGTAGGAGTAGGAGGTGGTGGTGGTGGTGGCGGGGTGAAGGTAGGAGAACGAGGTAGGGTTGATGATAGGTATATACAAAGTGGTGGTCGAGTGATCGATACGTGTTGTTCCGGATTGATATAGCGAACACCTAAGTATGATTCATGAATTTGTTATAGGATCAAATCGATCGATCGATATCAATGAGGCATGAAGAGACTCTGAAAGAGGAAATGTGATCACAAGAAAAACAGAGTAAAACAAACTAATGATTCAACATCATGGTTGGTCTCTTTAATCTCACTTTCCCTTGCCGGAAATCCTATAACCGTTTATGAGTTTTGCTTAGAAAAGCAAAAAAAGAAGAAAAAAGTGCAATATTAGGTGGAACATAATGGTAGACAGACGAGAAAAATATAAATCTCAGGTATAACATATAGCCGATCCACAAAATTGTTCTTGGTTGTAAGGTATGTGTTGTCATTCAGACAACACTTAATAAGACGGTTAGAACATGGATGACCAGACCACAAATTAACCGACCCTTGTGCCAAAAGCATCGTGGAAAACCCCCGTTAACTCCCTAAAACTAGTCTTTTCCTTGGTAGGGATACCTGTTTTAGGATAATATTCCAAAACTGTTTTTGCAAAAACTCACTATATCAGCGAGGCAAACCTTGTCAATATAAGTGCATGATTTACTCTGCAATTTTAAATTGAGAAGAGAATAATTAAAACAACATAAGGTACAACCTAGACGTGCACCATCATGACGATAGTATGTATAAAGATGTCACTTGCATACAAGGTTTATGTTCAAACGTCCCAATATTCAAGTTGATATTTAAAGGAGGAGTCAACCCTAACATTAAGCTGGTTTTAGTAGAAGCAGAACATGAGAGAAATAGGCCAGTGGAAGTTTGAGTAAAAACTGAATACAAATAATAAAGTTGTGAATTGTTGAAGGTGCGATCAATCAAACACAAATTGGCAACTATGTGACGTATCTTGTGAGCTCACCTCCCCTTTGCCTACACTAAAAACCTTCAAATATCTATATATTCCCTTTAACAAAATATTCAATCATACATTCACCCTAAATAAAATGAATGCAAATATGTTTTTTTTTGTTATACAACCCTCGTATGAAACAAATCTATTCCGTCATCGATAATTAACAACATGAAAGTAATGTCTGTACAGAGCAAATTGGAGAGGAGCTCGCACATATTATACTTAATAAGACAGTATATATATATATATATATCTCTATGAGCTCGCATGATACGTCAAAGTGTTGCCAATTTGTGTTTCACTGATGACAATTTGAAAAATTTATAACTTTTCTACCTTTAATCGGATTTTGCTGAAACATTCACTAATTTGTGTCTCTCTTATTTTCTGCTTCTCCAAATTTATATCAGGGTGGGCTTCCCCTATAACGTAAATTCATTAGTTTAACGTGATATTATAATCTGCCGTTCCTGCACATTCTTTTTTCTGTTCGACTTTGGGAAACTTAAACATGGGACAGGTGCTCCATGCATTAGGATACTAGTAGAGTAATGTATTATCCGGTAATTTACAAAAATAGTTGACACGAGGACTAATTTTAGCGGGATTCTAACTGTCAGAGATACCAAATGGTCAAACGGTCAAATTCACGATTTAATATACTTTATAGATTCGAAGTTCACAAGGTCATTCAGCTCTTCACTTTTAAATGTCTTCTTCTGTTTTTCTTTGAGTAAATATACTTTCTATCCAGGTGAACTGAGTTTCACTTACCTTCTTTCCTCTTCCGTTTCCTTCCATCCACAGTCAAAGCCTTGAATCGTTCAAATGGGGAATCCTATCACAAGCACCACGACCGATATCAAAACCAGTTACATTAATATCATTTTAGAGTGAAATTAATTCTTTCTAAATCTCATACAATTTAAAATGTGACACACAAATGAATTCATAAAGCAAATGAATTTGTAAAGGCCACGAAGTACTTTGTCCTAAAAGTTCATCGTTTGGTCGTTTGGTCATACAGTCCTCTGGATATACC